CAACCAAAAGTATAAGCACTGAGTGTTTAATGGAGATGGAACGTTAACTGTACAGAGAGAAGAGTTTGTGTGTTGATTGAAATGATGGTGGAGGGAAGCGAGGGGAGAAGAATGTTTCATGGTTTCGATGCTGTTTATCTTGGCTGCACGAAACACAAAAAAGGCTGAAAAAAGACACACAAAACTGTATCTGTAAAGGTCTAAGCTTTAAAAAGTGTCAGATATTCATGACAATCTGTCCGTGACAATAAGAGGAGGGTATCGATAAGGTCTTATTGATACTAATGCCTTCATCAATACTGTTTAAAGATGATTCTTTATCAGCTCACTTATTGATTCTTTATACAGTGTGTGTGTGCGTGCGTGTGTGCCAGTGTTTTACTATCTCCCAGTCTGTAAACACACAAAAAGCAAGACGCATGAGTGACTCAAGTTTCCGAAAGCTTTGCTGAGCCTGACATCATTAGTTTGCAGTGTGCAGCTGTCATGAAAACATGCCAGCACTGATAAAAGGAAATGATAAGCTTGGAAGTACTGGTGCCAGTGGATGGGACGATTTGGCACCGGTTCTTGATTCCCTTCCGTTGCCCTAATCTCATTTTTCCCTCGTGTTAAATGATGCCACTGTCTCTATGAACTAAGTGCATTACTACTTCTGCTCATCAGCTATGTGCAGCAGTCTGTCAGCTGCAGACTAACACAGTGAGTCACCACTAATGGCATCTTAACTGCTATAAGAGAAATAGGTTAGCCTTTGTGGTTTGTGTGTCTTTTGGTGGATTCAAAAGTGGATCAAACGTATGTCCTTTGCAACTCTCGCACCTTTGATGCCAAATGTGGTTAAGTAACCAGGAAACCTCCAGTTTGTTTTGTTGCGGGTAGACAAACAATTTTTTAGTTCACGTAACCAATGAAACACTAGAACTCTTGTGTAAATGTAAATTTGTCTGTTACTGTGTACTTCACACACATGGAGAAATGCCAAACTGCCTTTCGGTGTTCTTGTAACAGTGACAATAAAAAGCTATTCTATTCTATTCTAGAGTGATATGTTTTCTGATGTTAGAGTGAGACAAAAAGCATATTCTACATTCACTGTGTGAACTGAAAAAAAAAAAATCTAATTACCAGGTTGAGAAATATTACAAGAATAAAAAGTTGTTTTTAAACAAAAAATAAAATAAAATTTAAAAAAATCCCGCTGTTAGCCTTTTCCCTTTATTTTTCCTGGTTCCTCATCAAATGCAGCACTAGCATTGCTCACTTGCAGCTTGTTCTTCCCCTGGTATTCATATTTGTTGTTTATCTTTGTTTGCCCTTTAACACACTTCCCTGTGTGTAAATGCTGCCAATTTACAAATTTGTATGTAAGAATTTCTTCTAGATTAACGAGATTGTTTTAATAAAAACAAACTCCTGTCATGGAAGTGTCTGCTTAAAACTCTTAAAGCAGTAGCATGTAGTTTGTCACCCCCCTGTGGTGGCAACAATGAATTGCACAATGTTAACAAACCGAGGTAACCTGCTTCTGCAGACTGAGCGCAGCATTCAGATGATCCTTTATTCTTGGTATCAAATGAAAAAGGCATGAGTTAACAGCAGCACTGCGACAGCTAACACCTGAAAGGCTCAGGTTTCTCCACTTCGTCCTACCCTTTAGTGTTCTTTTATGACCAACAACTGAGGCATTTTATTAAAATACCACAGAAACGAGAAAAACTCCTCCTGCACTAAACACAAGGAACATAACTGTGAGAAAACTCAAACAAGTTGAACACTTGTACTGTTCTTTAATGTCAGAATTGTTATTGTACATGGACATCCTAATGGATTTGCACTCCTTTTTACAATAATGTACCACATATAACAGCACCTACATGTTATGTACACACATTACACAAGATTGTATCACAAAGCAGTGTGAAATCAGCAAAAACAAGTGCCTTGTTGACTCAACACACCCAATAGTCCATGAGCGGGCTAAAGTAAAATATCACAGCCATCGGCCCTCCACTAGCTCACAGGCAGCTGCCCCCTGTAATTTTCTAGATTTAAAGCTGAAGTCACAGGTGTGAAAGGGTTGTAAAACAAGAGACGAGTTATTGGCAACAGTCTCCAAGTTACTGTTGGGTCATATGCAAACAAAGATGCAGCCTTTGAAACACTGTTACTTCTCAGAATGCAAAAAATTTGAGAGCCTGTGTTGTATCGAGTTCTCCTGGACGCTGATATGGAAACTGTGCGTAGCGCATTTGTATTATTTGTAACGTTACAACAGGTAACAGCATGGTTAGAAAAAGAAAATGCAGAGATAAAAGACATAAGATGCATCTCACTTTCCCCACCCCGTCACCCCACTTATCTGTGTGGATATGAATGACCTGCTTCGTGATAAAACCCTTGCTTGGACTGTAAAGAGCAACTGAAGAAAAATAAAATGGGATGAATTTCATAAAAGAGAAAATTGTGAAGTGGAAACTGAATTTGCCAGAACCCTGCGTCCACAAGCGTACACACACACACACGCACGCGCACACACACACTCTTTGTTGCACAAAAACCAGAGATACTGTAGCAGCTTTCTCAAAGGCGAAGACAAGTACGACACAGTAAGTGGCAGTTCTGCTGTCAGATACACAAACACAGCAGCAGAATGAGATGCACACGCTGAAAAGCGTTTTGAGTTGAGCCACGCGGCAGGGAGGCAGTTTGGCCTCCCAAGGAGCCCGGATTCAGTCTGGTTTGGCGAGCACTCAAAAGAGGAGGAAGTATGCCTGAGGAAAGAGGGGAAGATAACCGCAAACTGCAGGCAACAGTCTGGTCCATCTGATCACTGAATGTGAAGCACAAAGGAGCCCGGCCAGAACCCCCCCCGAAAAAAAAAAAAAAAAACCCAAAAAAAACAAAAAAAAAAAACAAAAAAAAAAACCAACAACCACCATCTCAACTGAACATTCTGCACGTCGAGAACTTCAAGTGTAACGTGTGCTTGCCTCGGTATCAGATCGACAGAGGGCTAACAAACAGGAAAGTAAATCTGCTAAAAGGAACAGAACTCTACCACTGAGAGGACGTGTGAGACAACACCAAATTTCCTGCTGAGAAAATGAGTGGGTTAAAGGAGGGGCTAAATATGTACGCTGAGAACAGTTTTTTCTTTATTTGTAGCATTGCGACTAAGGAAGATTTCAGTGGTTGGCCAAGGCGCGAGTCCCCATCGGCTGTCCAGTTGGCCACTGAGGAGCAGACAGAGGAGGGATCAGTGGTGTGGGAAGAGTTCAGAGCATCCGGTTACGTTTATGCGTGGGTGAGTCTGTGATGACATCACTACAGGGGGCAGGGCCTCGTTTACGATTGGTGGTGGAATCTAAATGGAGTGCCATCTCCTCAGCTATGAAGGTGTTGAGGTCCACATCATGAAGCCCATTCCTACGACGACTGAGAGACTGTGCAGGGTGAGTTGGGGAACCAGGAGGACCAGAACGCACAGAGATGCTGGCCATGGCACCACTAAGGCCTGGAAAAGAAGAGATGGGGAAAAAAGAAAGAAAAAAAAGAAAAAAGAATAAGACAACTTATATGAATTCGAGCCTTGCAACTTCATAAAGCGTTCAGGTGCTTTGACTAACCATGCAGTGCGATGGCCTCTCTAAAGGGTTGCAGGTCGGTCTCCACTGAGCTGCCAGTCTCCGAAGGTGACGGTCTGCTCGCAGATACCATGGAAACTCTGGGTGGGGCGCGAGCTGTACGAGGAGGTGGAACTTTGCCACACAGGAAGCTAATGAGTTCTTCTCGTCTTATAGTTCTTCTGCGTTTTTTCGCCCATGCAATCACCTCTTTATTCCTGCGCTGATAGCCTAAGTGGATGCCCAGGTCATAGCTCCGCTGGCGGGCCTCCATACTCTCTGATGACATACAAGGATGCCTAATTTCAGTATCTCTGGACACAACAATCGCAACTTGTACATATAAAATGCTATAAAAAGGCTGAACCACATAATGGTTAACAGTATCATTTTACTTGCCTTTATACAGATTAGTGACAGCTGTGGCTGCATTTTGGAAGGGCACCCAGAGGGAGAGTCCTTGCTGTTGACATACTCGATCTGTGAATTACAAAATTATTCTTTAGCGACAAGAACAAAAGGCAGACAAACAAAAAGAAATGAGAGCTAAAAACCAAGTGAACGAACAGAAAATTAAATGAGCAATACATAAATATCTACTCTATAAACAGATGCATAACGTGTAGAAAAGGTCAAATTGCAGCAACGGGTTCGGTTTGTGGTCTGCTGGTATTTTGATTTTTATCTGAGACTTTATATAGTCCCATAGAAAAGTGTTTGTCCCCTCTTTAAAAAATAAAAAATAAAAAATGTTAAAACACCTCTCTGACAAAATGAAGTAGGCTTCAAAAGATATCAAAAAGCAACAAATGATGCCATGACTAAGGAAACTCAATAGCCAAGATATCAATGACTATGTTTCTATCAGCCTAAAAGTGGTTTCAAAAGCACTTCTAAAGGTGAATCACAATGAGATCATTATACACAAATGGAGAAAACACAGTGGTGAACCTCGCCAGGAGTGGCCGGCCTACCAATATTACTCCAGGAACGTACACAGACTCATCCAGGAGGTCACAAAACTACCAAGATCATCATCTAAACAATTTGGCCTAATTTGGTTCAGTTCAGGCCAGAGTTCATAATATAAACTATAAGAAAGAGAGTGGGCAAAATTGACACCCATGGGAGAGTTGAGGGGAAAACCACCACCTTGTGTCACATTTACCAAAAAACATCTTCATGATCCCCAAGACTTCTGAGAAAATGTTCTGTAGACTGATGAGACAATAGCTGAAACCAGCACAGAATGCCATAAAAAGAAGAGCACTGTAACAGTAAAACATGGTTGTGGTACTGTGATGTTCTGGGGCTGCTTTGCTGCTTGAGGCCGATTTTGCTGTAACTGATGGAACGATGAATTTGGTTCTCTACCAGAAAATCCTGAAGGAGAATGGATGGCAATGAGTTAATGCACTGAAGTTCAAAAAATGAGGAAAATCTGCACTCCCAGAAATCAATGGGAGATGCGACAGATGGCTGCTGTCCCATTGTCAAACAGCCAAAACAAGAAAAATATTACTTAATAATGCAGTTCTGACACCTGTGCACATTAAGGTTCATAACTGCTTTAACTGTGTAACTGGAACTTTTCTGCATCTGTGCTACAATGACTAAAGTATACTTTACTCCTTTTCTATAATGGGACGCTTTTATACCCTATTTAAGGTGAAGATGATAAACTTTTGTAACAGTTTTTACTGTCTTAACTAATGTTCCACTAACGACTGAAATTGAGGCTATGGTTCTCTTCCTACTTGTACAGATGGGGACTAAAACTAAAAATGTGCTACAAGATGGCCACAGAGTTGCTTCTAAAATGATTTTACTTTTAGTTCGGCAGGGCTGTGGTGCCATGGAGCTAAAGAATAGATACCATTTAATCTTCAAGAAACCATGGACTTTGTCACCTTTTAACATGCATGTGTCTTTGCAAACACTGACTGACGCACACAACAGGAAGTCATGATCCACATATCCATTAATAGCTTTCTGGCTACAATGGAAGACACCCTAAAGACTGAGTCAGCAGACTGGCTGATTGACCTCAGATTTGAGAAACACTGTTTGAGCATTTTCAAATTCAGTATCCACCACAATAAGTCTCAAGGCTAAAACTAAAACTCTCAAAACTATGCATATGCTTAGGATGCTTAAGTAAAATTATGTGAATATCAACAACTTGTGCGATGTTTACCTCCAGTTTTTTTTATTTTTAAAAGAAATGCAATGACAGTATTTTCATGACCCAAAAAATAAATGCAGTTTTCCTGACTAGAAACTCTTACATTTTTACTGCACTGGCTGCTCATAAGTGTATTCATGTACAGGTGTGTTCCTGATTTTAGGACACACGGGGAGGAGGGTCTTGTAAACAGAAGTACCTGACCAAGCAGGATTTCTAGACAGTGGTGGACAAACATCGTAATTGTACTGGTGAAATAGAGCTCCATAAATATTGAGGATAGGACATCAAATAAATCCCATATACTGGTGATCAAGGCAATTCGAGGCAACTAAAGCATTTAACACACAAAAAAAACCTGCAGGACAAATCTGAATAACTAAGGGATCACAATTTACAGCGAGTTTCTGGTCCTGATGAGAGGCTGTCAGAGCAAAAAAGACAAAAACAAAAAACAAAACAACAACAAACAAAAAAAACAAACATATCTGGGCAGGACAAATTTTCAACAAGAACAACATTTATGGTAATCCTTTCGCCATTTTGTTCTGGTAATGAAAATCATTGCACCCAGAAAGAGGAAACTGAACTGCGTCTTGGTATAAAACGTCTTTTGTGTAGTTAACTTCTGGACGTCCACAACACCGCTATAATAAAAATTTACGACTAAGCGTCAACAAATGTCTTGTTTTCAGTCTACCATCTCCTCCCTGTGTTTCGCCATTTTGACTAGCTGTATAACTGATAACCGGCAGACAAAACACTTTTTGTGTAAGCCATATCGTGTACATAACCGACGAACAACTGTAATAAACCCGTGACGCCCGCACCGGCAAGTTAACCCGTTATTTCGGGGACATTTTAGCGTGTCTTCTTTTCAATCCCTTAAACCAGTGAGACCTCTGACAGCTAAGGCCACCGTGAGCTACATTCAGCCTTGTTGTCCGACGCTCTGACACGGTGACCGGCTGTTAGCGGCTGCTAGCGTTAGCATGTGGTATAGTTAGCTAGCAAAAGGAACAGGGTCACGATAATCAAGACGAGAAGCGACGAAGACTCGATTTTAAACTCTGTTTGAAAGAATACACCTCCCAGTCCAACTGCAAACTACAACGGTGACAAACAACGCCGGTTGTACTTTAGAGAAAAAGCTGTGAATAGTGAGCAGTATGAGTTTGAATAGTGCCCTTTGTGTCTCTCCGCCCAGCGATAATGTTAGCTCAGGCGGCTAGCTTAGCTTGAATTCCGGCATCTTCTGTACATACCTTTGTAGAGCTGTGCTACCGCCGTGGCTGAGTTCTGAAAGAGGTGCCACAGCTTTTGCTGGCTTTGCTCGGACTCCTCTTCGTTTGGCGCATCCTGTTCCGCCTCAGCTAAGCACTGCCGTTCCCATTTCGAGAACCAGTGCTCGGGGCCGTGCTCTTGGATCTCCGCTTCTCCCTCCTCTTTCCTCTCCTCCATAGCTAACGTTAGGCGTTAGCTAATAGCTTATAAGCTAACCTTCGTGTAAAAATACAGGATCTTTAATTTCCCGGCTGTGCTATACTTTTCTGTGCTATACCGGAACAATACGTCAAAGTACACAAAATAAAAGCCAGAACTGCTGTTATAGCCACATTGTAGATATTTAACACCCCACCCGTACACCCAGTGCTAAACACACAAAACTGAGGAACGCAATGACAACACCTCGGAATTTCTGGAGCTTGCCCCTCCCATTATCTCAATGTGCTGAAAATAGATTGGTAGAAACAATTTTATAGGCGGTGCTTGATGCTGAACACGAAGCCTGATTGGACGGTGACAAAAAGACAAATTGTCGGAGAAAAACAATGTTGATCCCACCCAGAAGATTTTCTATAGCCTGTTACAGTGGATTCCGTGCGTTAGGGGGCAGCCCGACCATGGAAATGTCGTACATGTAATCAGTATGGTCAAAGGTCTAAGGACACCCTGTTTGTGCTCATACTTTTTCTTTGTTTTCGTTTTAAATTCAAGATCACTATCAGTAGACTGAACAGTAGTCACTGAGACCAAGTAACAATCATGGTACACAAATACTCCTAAATACTCAGACTTTCTCAAACAGTAGCTCACAAAGTGTGAAGTCAGAAAACAGTACTTTTCCTAATGCTGCATTATTTATGTTACATTAGCAGAGAAATGCAGACGGTTCACAGAGAAACACAGACGACGCGAGGAGGAGGACAGGCAGATACAGACTATAAATACACACACCAGGTAATCAGGAAATGGCACACAGGAGGGGACACAGCTGGAACTAATGGACATAACGAGACACAGACCTACAAAGTAAAACAGGAAACACACAGACTGTTTTAAAACACAAAACTCGGGGACCCGAACAGAGCACAGAGGGAGACACAGGTAGGGATAATAAACACGACAACCAAACCCAAAGAACTAATACAAAATCAGAATAAACTAGAAAATAATAATAATAAACTCAAAGCGCTGGGTCACCGACCCAGGACCATGACAGAATTTGTGCTTGCTGGCATTAATACTGCTGTCGCCTTCATGAATATGAATAATCGTACTGTGTATAAATTACCTGTATAAATAAACATGTATTAACGTATAGGTATGGTAGAATGGCTGACATCTGCAATACTTTCATAGGGGTAATCAGCATTATACTATACGCATATCACCAGCTGCCATCAAATTACTTGCATAGATTGTAATGCTCATGGGTGGAATTACTGCTGTGCTTGTGATTTTGAATGGGAGAGTTCAGTGCCACATGATCACAGTAAGCCACAACTCTTTAAGGATTGAGAGAGTCCAAAGTTCCGATGGGTAATAAGAGATATCTTTTGGTTACATTTTCACTCACCTGTATCTCCTTCAGCCTGCACAGGTCTCTGTGCCAGACTGCTTCTCTCTTTTGAACCCAGCTTCCAGACTCTCTTTTCCTCTCTTTCTGCTAGCAACTCCATTCTTTGAACATGACTAAGGGGGAGAATAGTATCGGTGTTGATGACTACTTTCAGGACCGGGGTCCAACTGTCACATTCAGCAACCTCCTCTACTGTGTTCAAGAAACAAAGTTCTGCCGCAAGATAGGGCCCGAAAAGATCATCCTCCATGATGTGAGGTAGGACATGCTGGTTACCCGGGAGAATGTGAATGTATCTACATATACTTTTATGTGATATAACAGCTTTATTACTGTGTGGTGACCGATAACATGCTGGAACTATAGCATGTGACAGTCAACGTTTTTACGCTGGTCTCATAGAAATACTCTATGCACTTTCCACATTGTTCTTTTTGAGCTTATACGTTGTTCTGTTGTTAATCAGAAAAAAGAGTCAAAGATGTTCTGGCAGGTTAGAAACCTGAGCCAGACTGGATTCACCCTCATTACACCTAAATATATGAGTGACAAATTCAAAAAAACAAAACTATAGGTGGTTTCTTTTATGCTCCTTGACTTGGATCCACTTGAGTTCATATTTATTAAGCAGTGTCACTGAATGGCTTGATGATTATGAAAATATCAATAAAATATGGCAGTTGCAATCACCAGATCCCAACTACCTAAACACCTATGGTAGACTTTGGGTCACATTGGTCAGTATCTTTGAAAAGAATGGGGTTTACCCCTCAAGTAGATTTCTAGAGACCTAATGTGCCATGACTAAGGAATACTGAGGTGCAGTGAGTCTGTTCTAGTGACATGTTTTGGTCTATCACCTTGCTAAGTCACTTTGTGTTTATTTTTCCTTTAATTCTTTAATGTGTACAGGTCAATCAGGCAATAAAAGTGTAAATAACATTAGTTTTCAGTTGCAGCTCTACTTTTTCAATATGCTGTAACTTAGCATGCTAAAAGTACACATGCATGTGTTTGGCCGTAGCGTTTTATTTTCATAGCATTGTCATCTTCTTTTATTTTCTGCATTTTGCAGAAAGCATTGAAAGAAATGAACAGTATAACCTCCAATGCTTGAGTAGAAAGAATGTATCTTGTGGATTATGTATTAAGGATCACTAAAGCATTGCATGACTTGCTGCAGTGGGATCATAAGACCGGGGATGAATGCCATCATGGGTGCCACAGGAAGCGGTAAAACATCGTAAGACATTTCCCTGCAAATACACAGTCAGTAGTTTATAAGCATGAACAGGCCACCCAATGATGTGTTGTTGTTGTTTTTTTTTTAATCTTGATCGCAGACTCCTGGATGTACTTGCAGGGAGGAAAAATCCAGCTGGACTGCGTCAGGGAAATGTATTGGTGAACGGCAAAGTCGTCACGTCTGACCTGAGGCTCAGCTCTGCCTATGTGGTTCAGGTACACAGATGCAAACACATGCATATTTTTTAACATCACACACTGGTGAGTGGTTTATCTACATCGCCCTTTTGGTTCCAGGATGATATTCTGATGGGGACTCTGAGCGTGAGAGAGAACCTGCTTTTCAGTGCCAACTTGCGTCTGAACCCTAAGGATCACTCCACAGCAGATAAACACCAGCAAGTAAACACCATCATAGAAGACTTGGGCCTCACAGACTGTGCTAACACTAAGGTACAGAGCACCATGCACAAACTACTTTTTTTAAACTGTAGAGGAAATATCAAAAAATGTTACAGTATTTTATGCAAAATAACTTATCATTAGTGCTTTTTAAATCCTATTACTATGAGACCACAGTTCCAACTAAACTGTATATAATCGCTACAAAAATACATTGAAGTTTGGTGTTTTGGTGTAACTTACATACAAGAAAAGTTACTCTCCCATTTTATTTTGAAAAATCAAACTTTATAACAGAAGTATCCCTCTAGTTTGTCCTTTTTGCACATTTTAGATGCAAAGCAAGTTTTGCGTGTGTGTATTCAGATAGGCACGGAGTTTCTGCGTGGTGTATCAGGAGGGGAGAGGAAGCGGTGCAGCATCGGGATGGAGCTCATCACGTCTCCCTCTCTGCTGTTTCTGGATGAGCCGACCACTGGCTTGGATTCTAACACTGCAAACTGCATCATCGGTCTACTACACAAGTACAGCGCAGCTACTTAACTATCACTCATTACACACATACACAAAAGACACAAATAACACAAAACCGAAGCACGCTGTATAAAATTAGGTAGAGTCAAACAGCAGCGTGCTGTTCATTGCTATCTTTAGTTCACATTTACACTATGCTGGTGTTTCTGGTGTAAATGATCTCTTTATGTCACCATCTACTGCCGTCTGTGTAATAAAAATGTCCAAAAATGTATCAAGGTTGTCCAGAAGAGGCAAGACTGTGATCTTCTCCATCCACCAACCCCGATACTCCATCTTCAAACAGTTTGACCACCTCACACTGATGCATAAAGGGGAGGTGGTGTATGCAGGAGCAGCAGACCATGCCCTGATGTACTTCACAGACCTTGGTATGTAATGCATGAGTTTGTATATTTACTGTAAAAGTTGGAAGACTCTGACTGAGAATCCTATAAAAAATGATGAGCAGTTGAATACCAAAGGGAAATATACAGTATATGAGCTGCTGAATGAGGTCAGAAGTCAGGGCACGACTTAAGTCCTGTTTTATATTTATATGTTCATACTTAACTTTGTTCTACAGTGTGAAAATGATCTGAGATTATTTAGATAATCCAGCCCTGAACTGGGTTCTTGGATTCATGAATGGATGTAGCACTTCCTCAAATCCAGATTTTGTATGCTTTTAAAGTTGAATGAGGTTTTATCAGTATGTCTGTGTGTGCTTTGCACAGGCTATCAGATTGAGCCTTTCAACAATCCAGCTGACTTCTTCATGGACATCACAAATGGAGAAACAAAATCAACAGTACAATGGGACATGGCAGGTAAGTAATAATTCACAGTTAAAAAAAATGTTCTCCTGCTTCGCTTCTCCAACCACCAACTACTTTTTGCTGAGAGACACACACAAAGACAACCTTCTAAAATAGACAAATCACTCTTTGTAACACCAGTTAAATATCCAAGCATGGTTTGGTGCTTCGTGAGTAAGAAAAAAAAATCAATGTTGGATAAAGTTATTGGTGAAGTTACAGTTTTAGACATGTCGGTCACAGATTGCTCCAACAGCATCTCAAAAACTATATTCTACAATGTTTTTGCTTCATAACACAACCTGCCGCATACTGGGCGGCTATAAAAGCCTCACTTATTACAAACCAAGCTCGTGTTTGTGCAGCATGTTTGAACTTTGAGTTGGGAGGCAGCTAGGTTTACTTAACGTGACGTAAAGGAAGGTTTGTGTTACGTAACTAAGCACTTCTGGAGTAATTGCTCAGTTTTACATCTCCAAACCCATCTCACTTAGATTTCTTGGGTGGCTGTTATAAATCCATGTTTTTATTATGCTGTCCTTAACTTGACACCGTGATTTCCTCTCTCACCCAAGAGAATTGCAAAAACCCCTTAGCAATAAAGTATCAGCAGTCCCAGCTGTACCAGAATATGATGGAGGAGCTGGACCATGTGAACCAGAGCATTGTTGACGGGGTCACAGGTGAAGACAAGCCGGCCAACTACACCACCTCTTTCTTCTATCAGGTGAGCAAATCGTCAGTTGCAGAGAACATTTTTTAATTTTAAAATGATAGATTATTTTCTGGTTGTTGGAAATCTCAGGTCTCATTAGTTTAATGATTAACAGAAGCAGACGTGAGTTTATTAGGTTATGTCACAGAGTTTACGAGCCAGCTGTTATCTCAG